CCATTTTGCTTTCAAAACTGAAAGCTGTATCAAAAAGAAGCCAAGCTAAGCACTGTGGCATACCCTGCTGCCCCAGCTACTCGGAGGCTGACGCTAGAGGTTTACTTGAACCCAGAGGCTTAGTGCCAGAGACTGGGTGACAGGGGAAGGCCCTGTCTCTGGAAAATAGGGGAGATACATGCAGGGTGGGGTGATCATCTCTAGAGCACAAGTAGGAAGCTCTGAGCTGAGAACACAAGCCTGGCCTACCTCTCCACTGCACCCGCCTCCCTCCAGTGGCCCTGCTCCGGATGCTCTGGACTGTGTGGGGAGGGAGGAGGAGGCCTTCCCGGGTGCAGGGAGGTATGCTGGGACCTGGAAGAATCACTAGCTAAACTTAGGGCTTGGCCCTGAGCCCTCTGTGGCTCAAGAAGCACTTAATGAGGCTCCAGGGCCTGGGGATCGTGAGTCATGAATTCCTGGGGGCCTGGACTTCCCCTCCTGTATCACAGCCAGTGGACCTGGTGTGGGGTGAGCCCCAGCCAGCCTTCCACCATGAGCTCACCCCTCTGCTGCCAGGAGGACACTGAGTGGGAGAAACTAAACAATTCCACCTTCCTATCCCATAGCCACCATGTCCAAATTCAAGGAAGCCACCCAAGACTCCTGGGACCTGTCAGATGATTCAGGAAGCAGCCTGAGGAGGTTCCCATTGGCCACAAATGGGCCACCAGAGCATCAATAAGGATAGCAGCTGCAGCGGAGTACAACAAATCTGTTTAAGTTATCAGACCACATGATACAAAACAAATAATCAGTCATTTTGGAGGAGAGTAGGGAATTAATTCATTTTTTTGAAACTGAAAAATCAGATCAAGCGTTGATCCAGCCTTTGCTCACACTGTGCCAGAGGTGAACCAAGTGACAATACTGGACCACCACCTCCTATAACCATAGGAGAGTTAGTGGATTTAGGCAATGGTCAACACCAGCTCCTCACACCATAAAAGAGATAAACAGACATTTCATGCCCCCCCCCCCCACCGCCCAGGGAAGGACACGGCATCTCCTGCAGACCAGTCATGCCACAAAACATTTGCACCTCAATTTCCTCAAGCTTCTAGAGCTAAGTCCTAAATACAGGAATGCAGGGGACAGGGCACATGTTAAACAACACCAGGAAGACAGTCACCAACACCCAGACTGGGAATCCCACAGGGCAGATGACTTTTGTTTCTTCAATAGATAAATCACAAGGAAAGGTAAAAAGATGAAAGAGAAACAACCAATTGCCAATACGGACTTCGGTTTTGATCTCATTCAAATAAAGTGTAAGACGTCTACGTGTTTGCAGCCTGAACTGGGAACTACAATACTTTGGGGGCATTTGGTGATATACATTGAGCATCCCTACTCCTAGAGCTTGGATCTAGAATGTCCCCCAAAGGCTTATGTGTTAAATGCTTGTATCCCAGTATGGCCCTATCAGGAGGTGGTAGAAACTCCCAGAGGTAACACTATGTGGGAAGTTTTAGGTCACAGAGGGATGTGCCCTTGGGATGGTGGGACCTGGGTCTCCTGTGTGGCTTTCAGATCCCAGCCATGAGGCCGACTGTCCTGCTACATCACACATTCCTACCATGATCTGCTGCCTCTCCAACAAAGGTCTTCAGGCAATGGATCTGCTCAATCATGAGTGAACTGCAACCTCTAAAACCACGAGCCAAAATTAACCTTTTCCTCATTATAAATTGATTCATCTTGGGTATTTGTTAAAGTAACAGAAAACTAACACAACTGAAACTTTCTGAGCACTGACATGATGTTTGGGATTTTGGAGCATTTTGGATCTGGGATTTTTCAGATAAGGGATGCTTCCCTGATAAAGGATATGCAAATATTCCATAATCAGAAGAACCCTGAAATCCGAAACAGTTTTGGTCCTGAGCATCTTGGATAAGGGATACTCCACCTACATTAAGGAGTTACTTTAAAATGTTTCCGTTGTATATGGGTATTGTGGTTATTATTTTTGAAATGAGTGCTTCTTTTCCAGAGCTGTATCCAGAAACATTCACAGATGAAATGATCTGCTGCCTGGGGGCAGGGGTAGTAGAAGCAGTAAGATTGGCATGAGCTGCTGGCTGCTGGAGTTCTCTGTGCTTGTGGTCTCTGTGTTTGACATTCCCTGTCATCAGGGACACCACAGCCTAGCCTGGCAGCAGGAGCCCTGTGGGTGGTTCAGCTGATCCTCTCAACTCTGACCCTCAACATGCCCTCCTGTGGGCTTCTCAGAAATCTTCCATGACCACCAAACACCACGATGCCTCCTGCCATCTCCCCCGTGTGTGTGTGTGTGATCTGCCTGCACCCCTTCCCTCAGCTCTCAGGTGCTAGCCCCCACTCCTGCTCCCCAGCACAGCTCCCTTTCCCCACCCACTGGGAGGAGTTCCTCAGACCCCCCTGCCACACCCAGCACAGGGCCTGGACCGGCTCCAAAGCTGGTTGGAGTCCTTCTGGCAGGAAAATCCCCAGCTGTGGTCACTGGTGAGGCCCCTGACAAGCTGGTGATGCCCCTGACCAGCTGGTGACCCTGTACACACAACCTCATCTCAGAGACTTAAGTTTGGACTGGGCCACATCTCTGAGCCTCAGTTTCCTCATCTACTTACCCTACCCCCAGGACCATCACAAGAACTCAAACAGAAGGCCTTGGAGGTGCACCACATGCTTCGGAGGGCTGTGCACACCTGGATGGGGCTGTTGGCTGTGGAGTACCTCTGTGGGCACTCAAGGCTGCAAACCTCAGGGCAGGGGGGAGCTGCAGCCACCGGGTGGCCTCCTTCCCAAGAGGAGAAAGGGAAACTCAGCACCACCGGCTGTGGGGTAACTTGGGGCTGACCTGGCTGGTGGCAGGGACTGGGTAGGGTTTGAAGCCTCCCTCACCTGCCCGGGGGCGTGGCCTCTTGCAGCACACACCCCAAATCTCAGGGCTGTGATGGGCACCTCAGCGCCCCTAGTGCCCCAGCTCCTGGGCTTTGTCCTGGGAACCTCCCACCAGGTTCAAGCAGCCTCAGGTCATGGGACAGAGAACAGGAGTCGGGAGCCCAGGGAGGGCAGTACTGCTCAGGAGCTGTGGGTATGTGACTGTATGTGCGGATGTAGGGGCGTGGGAGAAAGCTTTCCAGATGTCTACCTGGGACCCCAGGCCCAGCTCACAGCGTTTCTGAGCCACACGGTGGCTGTGGCAAGAAGGGCTGCTGCTCCCTGTTCACCCAAGTTGGGTAAGATGAGCCACAGGCCTTTTGGAATCCTCAGACCTAGCAGGTTCCTGGTGCTGGGCATCTGAGATTCCTCAGTTCCCAGCTTCTGGATTCAAGAATCTGAAATTCCTTAAGTTTCAGATACTCTAACTGGAGGAGCCAGGAAGGCTGTGTGCCATCCCCGCCTCCTTAGGAGGGCAGAATCCTGCTGCCCAGAGATCAGGACAGCTGGAACCAAGACCTGCTCATCCCAGGCCTGCCTCTCTGCTACCTGCTGGATGGCCTCAGGCAACGTTTCCCCCTCTCTGAACCTGGAGCTTCTGTTCAGCAGTCAGGTTCTCCTAACCCTCCTCAGAATAATTTGAAGTGAGGCCGCGCTTCTACAGTCACTGGGACAGAAAAAGGCAAACCCAGAGAGGGTGGCCAGGTGCCAATTCTGTCGTGCTTGACTGACACTCAACTTTGTCATCAGACTGAGTCACCAGAGGAGGAAGCCACTCAGAGAGGCTGCCCAGGGTTACCCAATGGGACAGTGCATAGCAAGGCAGGGGCCCTCACCACTTACCATGCTGCCTCTCTGGGAAGAGGCTCAGGAAGTGTCAGGTCTCCTCACCCTATGGTTTCTCATGGTTTCCATGGAGAATGGGTTATTTCCCCCTGCCTGAGAACAGAGCCAGGTGCTACCTCTTCCCACAGAGGGAGGGCTACATTTTTGACTCTCAGAGGAGTTTCCAGCAGTGGCCAGGAGGCAGGCTTGGGAGGGCAGAGACTCCTGGAAGATGGGGGAGGGGGATTCTTCGAATGATATCAGGGGGATGTGGAGGCAGGAAATGGGGAGGCCCTGAGGTGGAGGAGAAAAGGGGCTACGAGACCAGCTCGGGGAGCATTTTGAAGCAGGGTCATTCCCAAGCAAAACCACAATGCAGCCTCTGACCCCCATCTCAGGAAAGGGGCAGAGGGACACATTTTGCCAGCCCATTGCAGGTGACAGTGTCACAGGGTCAAAGGTCCACAGGGCCATGGCCTGGTGCTCCACCTTGAACTCCTGACCCTGGTCCAGCCCCTCCAATCCCTCCATGACCTGCGCAGGAAGCCTTCTCCTCTGAGTCTCAGTTGTCTCTGTTCAAAATGAGCAAGAGGTAAGGACAGAGGAGGTAAGGGCAGAGCTGTGAAGAAGGATCAACAGGACACCAAGACTATGTGGCCTTGCAGCTGCACTGATACCAATATCAGTCATATCTGGTCACTAGTCTAACAATCTCAAAAGGGTAGGGCAGAGAGGCGCCTCACAGAAAAAGCCAGGCTGTTCCCTCTGGAAAGCCTGGGGCCAGGACTGGGTCAGAGACTGACAGAAGATCCAGGGCTGGTAACTCTGAGGCCATCCAGCAGGAAGCAGAGAGGACTGACCCTGCCCCACAACCTGGCCATCCAGTGCTCCATCCACCCCTGCCCAGCGCCCTGTGGGTAGGGAGACTGGAGACAGCATGGCCTCAGCATGGCTCCCTCCACCCCACACAGGCTGGCTAAGCTGCTGGAGGGGCGCCAGGAGGCCCAGTAAACCCAGGCCTGACGGAGGCCTGGCTGGTCACCTGACTGCTCTGGGCCTCATCCCTGACTGCTGGCAGGAGCGGGGTAGACACTTTGAGAGAGGCTCATGGAGGGTTTCCCAGGGTTGGGAGGGCACTAGACAGGACTGGGAGAGAGGCAGCAGAGCTCCTGAGGGGCAGCGGTGCTCACGGTGAGACGCACACCACCAAGGCAGGACACACGGCTTTTATTGGGCACGCACAGCGGGCACAGCAGAGGCACTCAGGACCCCACAGGAAGACGGGATGGGACAGAGTGGGGAAGAGCAGTCTGGGGGGTCCAGAGAGGAGAGGGCAAGCAAAGAGGCAGAAAGGGGGAACTGCCCCGGGGTCTGACCTCCTCCCATCCCACAGTTAGCAGAGAATAAAGCAGCAATGGCTATAGGCAAGGCCAGCACTTCTCCAAACATGTCCCAGAACAGACCCCAGAGACACAGTTTCACAGGACCAGAGCTCACCACAGCCCATCTCTCACTATAGAATCCTGACTCCGACACCACCTTCCACATCTCTGAGAGGGAGCCTGCCCCCACCAGCCCCAACACTGGGGATGGTTCTGACCCTCTAGGTCTCAGTACATCTCTTCCCAGGTCCAAGTGCCCTGATGGACCTTTCAAAGGATGTCTCTGGCCAGGGCCAAACAAAGCCAGCCTTGCGACAAGGTGTTGGGGGCACTTGTGGAGGTGCTCGGGTCTGAATCCAGGCAGCAGGTCAGGCCCCTCTAAATGGGGGCTTTGGGCCTGTACAATGGGAAGCAGAATGAGGCTAGAGTTGGAACTGAATCTGCCAGTAACTGTGCCTCATTTTCCCCATCTGGTGAATGGATACCCCCAGTGACCTCCAAGGCCAGTGTTCTCCATCACATTGCTGTCACCTCCAGCCCACTTGAGATTATAAGCCATTGTAACTACCCCCATAGGCTTTACCCACCCCTCCCCTAGCTCCCCTAAAGCAGCCCAGGAAATGCCAAAGCTGTTCCAGTCGAAGGAAATGCCTGCTTCTCTCTGTCCAGTGAGCTGGCGAGGCCTGCTTCCCCAAGGGGACATGCCATCTCTAGCTCCAGGGCCCTGGATCCCTCTATCCAGCCTCCCCCCAGGTAGAAGGAAACCCTTTACTAAACTGCTCCCACTTCACTGTATGAATCTCAAAGACTCCCAGCTCAGGAAGCCCCCAACGGGGCTCAACCCAGGTCATGTCAATCAACCCCTTGCCAAGAGTCACCCTTGAACCAGCAGCAATTTTTCAATGGATAACCTAAAATTAGACGTGTCCACAGGGCAGGAATAGACCCTAGTGTGCACTGTGTGAGCCCCGCATGCTGTCTTGATGGATGTGTGCATGCAGGCAGACAGATCTGTATGACTGTATGTAGCTCCCCTTCACTTCTCCACTACAGCCAGCACTGGGTGACAAACCCCAAGCCACTCCCACCACCCAAATCAGCCCTGCAGCAACCCTGCCCCATGTCCTGAGGGTCCTGAGGCATCCTGGGACCACACTGGGTCATTGCAGAAGCAGCACCTTCCCGAGTCCTCAGGCTGGGTGTTCACCTCCTGACAAGGGTGGCCGAGGGTGCGCGGAGAGCAGAAGCCTTCTTCCTGGATTCCCCGAGGAGGTTGCTCCTGTCATCTCCATGTCCCTGTCTCTGGAGGAAGCCAGATGGCTGGTTGTTTGAATCTCTGTCTCTCTTGGTCTTTGACTGTCTCACTCCCTCACAATGAAGCAGAGAAGGCAGGTGCCTATAGCTTCTCCATCTGCCACATGAGCCCCTACCAGGTCTCTATCATCTACAGGGGGTGGCATCAGTGCTCAGTGAAGCTTCTAGACTACAGAGCCGTGGGATCTTTCTGGGAGCTGGAGCTTTGACATCAGGGAAAAGGAGAGGAGGAGAGGAGGACATGGACTCAGGGGGCCTCTGGCCACGCAGAATCCAGGCTGAGCAGCTAGAAGAATGTCCTCCCAAAACACAGGTGTGGGGAAGGGAGGTCCAGGCAGGAAGAGGGTGGGGGCAGATGGGGCAGAGGGCAGCCCCCTCAGAGCTGGCTGAACACCACGGAGGCCTTGAGGTCAGCAGGCTCCAGCCCTTCACCAAAGGTGATGAGGAAGTACATGACCTTGCGGATCTTGGCCAAATCCGACAGGCGCTCCCCGAACTCCAGGGCATCGGCCTCGTTACAATCCATGGCGTCCGAGTCCTCCTTGCGCCAGAAGATGGCAGCGGGGTCCAGCAGCTGGCGCGTCATGAGGTTGGTGAGGTCGGGCGTCCAGTTCTGCGAGGTGCCGGTGATGGTGACCTTGCCGGGCTTGTCCAGCGCCACGTTCCAGCGCTCGAACTGCAGCCTCTGCTGCTGGGTGAAGTCCAGGCGGTACACGGACTCCGCCGGCCTCAGCAGCTTCTCGCCGTCCTGGCGCTTCTCCCCACGCTGCTTCAGGCTCTCCACGCGCAGCCGCATCTGCTTGGTCAGGTCCTTGTCCAGGACCAGCGGCATGTCCAGCTGCTGCTTCTGCGGCCCGTCCTCCGCCATGGCCCAAGTGCTGCTGCTGCTGCTGCTGCTGCTGCTCCCACTGCTCCCGCCAATGTCAAAGAGCCAAATGGGCTGGGGCCTCAGTGCAGAGAGAAGAGGCCACCTAGAGGCGCCGCCTCCCCTTATGCCCTCCCTCCTCTCCTCTCCTTCGCTCCAGGTCACTGGCCCTTCCAGACCCCACCCAGTTCCAAAATAGGGTGGGATGAGAAGTGGGAGTCCACCTGCCTCCTCTCCACTCCTGGAAGTGATAATACAGGTGCTGCAGGCAGGCAGGCAGGAGGGTGCTGGGCTCCACGGGGACAAGGACGCTGATGTCAATTGCTGTGGAAACCACCTTGACTACATGGATGGGCTGGGAGCTGCTTGTTTGTGAATAAGGGAGTGCTCTGCACGGCAATGCGGGGAGGAGTGGAGCACTGGCTGGAGGCTCGGAGGAGAGGCTGGAAGACCCCTATGGGGGGCAAGAACAGGACCAGACAGGTGCACCCGATGGAGATCTGGAGTCACCCAAGCCAACATCCCAGGTTCCCCTGCCCCTCACTCACCCACATCCAACCACCAAGGCTGGTACATTCTACTTCCTAAATGTCAGGGAGTCTTCCCCTACATTCCCACTGCCAGGACCCCCACCCTGCCACCATCATGTCCCACCCAGATGCCTGGTTCTCAAATTCCAGTGTGCATCAGAATTACTTGTAGGACTTGGAAACGGACTGTCAGCCTCCACTCCCAGAAATTTTGATTTAATCCATGTTGGATGTGGATTTGCATTCCCAACCACCTCCCAGGCTGCTGGCCCAGGAACCAAGCTTTGAGAATCACTGACCAGCTGATTCTGACCTGGCCCTTCCTCCACCCTGTGCCATGGCAACCACATGACTACAGTTCTCTTCTACTAAAGTCCTATCACGTATTCCCCCTGTTACCCCAGGAGACTTGAGGGCAAGGAAGAATCACAAACATCTATATCTCCAGCATCCAACAGGAAGCAGAAGCTCTGTTATCAAAAGTGGGCAAGGGGGCTGAGGTGGTGGCTCAGTGGTAGAACGCTGCCTCGCATGTGTGAGGCACTGGGTTTGATCCTCAGTACCGGATAGAATAAATAAGATAAAATATTGTGTCCATCTACAACTAAAAAAAAAAAGGCAGGATGTGGCTTAGTGGTGGAGGAAGGCCTTGGGTTTGAGTTTAGAATATACACACATACCCCGCCCCACACACAACAGGACACCTGAAAGAACTGGGGTATGTGAGCATAGTTGAGGTGGGGATGGGGCAGAGGGGTGGGCTACCACCATGATATGCAAAGGAAAGAGGAAAGAGGCCCAGGGCCAAGTGTAACAACAGAAAAAAATCTGAAGGATCTCGTGGACCACAAGCAGAGTCAGTTGCTGGATGAAAGCTACGTTAATCAGTGATATCTTGAGCTACATGAATGGCATGCGGGTACCAAAGGAGACGATACCTGGTTCTGTAGAGTGGGAGTTCAGTGCCAGATCAGAACCTTTGACCTTATAGCTGGAGGGGCGGGGGCGGGGGCACAACTTGGCTGATGAACTGACACCAGGCAGCTTCTCCTTCCTCCATGGGAAGGAGCAGTTTCTACCTTCCTGGCTCTACATTTTGCTTTTCACTTGTATGTCGGCTTCGTTTCTGCCTGTGGCGTCCCCTGCTAGACCACCAACCCTGAGAGGGCAGGGACCGGGCCCATCTTGCTCAGGACCCTAGGCCAGCACCCAGAACAAGGGAAGCACAGAGGAGACCCACAGAAATGCTTGTTGAATGAGTAAGTGGCACTGATAAGAGAATAGCTGCTGGAGGGACTGTGGGGCCAAGGACAAGAGGATGCAGGCAGGTGGGAGAGTCCAGGGCACTGGCTGAGGCCTGGATGAGGTCAGGTCAGCAATGTGCTGGAGCTGGAAGTTGAGGCCAGAGAGACCCAGCCTTGACTGCAGACCACCTAGAGCTGTCCCAGGCTGTGGCTGTGGAGTGACCGAGGTGGCTGTGAATAAGGGAGTGCTCTGCACGGCAATGCGGGGAGTAGTGGAGCACTGGCTGGAGGCTATTGGAGATGGAACCCAGAACTAAGACCAGGGCAGTGGGGAGTAAGGGGCGGAGCAGAGGCATGAGCCACAGGGGCACAGTGATCCCCAGAACGCAGCCTTTCTTGGGGTATAAAAGGCTAGGATCCTGGAGGTGCCACACCCTTTGAACCTAGGTGACAGTGCAGACAACAGCTGGATGAGGATCCAGGAGCACAGGAGAGCGCCTCATCTCTGGCGGGGTGGAGATGTGCAACCAGGAGGAGGCTGAGGGTGGGCCTCACAGACCGGGCAGGAGGGAGGGGGCGACAGGGGCCACAGGAGGGGAGGACAGTGCAGGAAGGAGGGGAGCAGGAAACAGAGGGTGCAGAGGCTCCGGAGGAGTGGCAGAAGGGAGGCAAGAGGCTGCAGGCGGTTCTGGATGCGCTGATATCCTTGGCTCAGCTGCCAGACACTGGGGAGGACCCACCCACGGCTGGACGCAGGAACAAATTCAGGGGAGAAAAGCAGGCTCCAAACTTGCACAATTAAAATAAAACTTCTTAACCGAAATAGAAGAAACAACAACATCAACAACTGAAAATCCTTAACACTGGAGGCTACTGGGTAACGAAAGTCACTTGACTTTGTGGTTTTGGGACTTTTTCCACATCTTCTGTTCCAGGACCTTCTGTGGCACTTGGGGCGCAGTTGGTGTCCAGGAACGTGCACTGAGCAAACTGCTGAATAACTGAGAACAGGAACTGCTGATATTAAAGGGCCAAGACAAAGCGGGAAACACAAAATGGAACCCAGACTGTCTGCCCGGCCTCCTCTGCCTTTCCCAAACCCGCCCCAGTACTGTAACCCCCAATTTCCATGCTTTCTTGCAGTCGGGGGCCTGGCTGGCTCCTCCAGGCCAGCCCACAGCCAGGGACACGATGGCTCAGGCAGCAGGCCTGGCCTCTGCTCTGGCTGCACCAGGCTCCCAGGGAGGTGAGTTCACAGACAACCTTGGGTCCAGCCTAGGCATGGTCTCCTGGCAAGTGCTGTCAACTGCCACTTCCTGATTTCAGGTTCACAAAACCTGGCCACCAGAAGTCCACTGCCTCCCTGCCTGCAGGGAACACACAGTGAGATACGGAGGCCAGGATGCCCCACCAGGGAGCCTATAGGAAGGGAAGCCCACTGCCCAGGGGTGTCTGGAAGAGGCGAGGGCGGGAGCTAAGTGTGCAGAGTGCTGGGAGCCAAGGGCTGGTCCTCCTTCCATGATGGCGAATCCTGAGCCTATTGGTCCCAGGCTACTTTAAGAACTAAGAGTGAAGGGTGACTTCCTGGAGGAGGGCACGTGTCAGGTGCCATGCACCTGCTTCTGAGGCCCAGCCTCTCGGAGTGTGCAGCTGGATGGGGGGGCAGGGGTGCAACTCAGGCTAAACGCCACCCCTGTCCCCTCCACTGCCCTTCCAGGGAGAAAACAGGGTGGGGCAGGGAGGCCCTGCAGGGCAACAGGCCCTGAAAGTGAGGGGTGACAACAAACAGGGCCCCATCAGGGAGTGTGAGGCACAGTAATGAGCTCCCTGGAGCCTCATCCCAGGACCCAGGGGCTATCGCCACAGCAGTACCTGGAGGCAGAGTGCAATTAGCCAAGAGCTGGGGACCTGAGCTACGGGAGACCAGCCTCCTGGCTCTGCAGCCTGGAAGACCACCCAGGCCGGTGTCCCAACCCCTCAAAGGAGGAAACTTCAGTCCAGAGATAAAAGCAGGCCTGCCCAAGGCGGCACAGCATCAAGACCAGGCCTCCTCCTGTGAGTCTCAGCCTCTTCCTCCAGCAGTAAAGATGGGGAGCTGCCACAGGGACCAAGGGCCAGGCCTGGGGCAGGGTACACAGCGCTGAGCTCCTCCCATCTTGTCCGGCACCAGCCCACTCCTAGACCTGGAGGACTGCCAGCAAGGCCGGCGGTGGAGCTGCCTGTCAAAAGCTGGGTGGAACAATTCGGGGTGGACTTCCATTCCCAAAACTCTCCAGAGGCTCCTCTATGCTGGCTCCTGTGAGGCTCCAAGGGAAGATATAAGTTGGACCGGCTCTGTCTGTGGGGAGCTCACCTCAAGGGGGGAGACAGCAGATAAACAGGCAATTATAGGGCGGGTGGGAGGTGGGGGGCAGCCCCGTAGGATTCCCTTGTGCCACCTCCAGCCACATGAGTCCTCGCCTAGGGGTGCTGGGGCTCAGAGGCAGGGGGCCTGGTTCTGGACTCAAAGAAGCGGGCTGGAGGCTGCAGGGTGGAGACCAGACCTTCACCTAGAGAATCGGGCCAGGCCCCACAGGATCCCATGTGCTTTCTCCCAGCCTGGATGCCCCTGAATACCTAAATCTATAAGCTGTAGCAGTTGCCTTTGCTGAGGCCCTGCGAGCCCTAAAGCCAGCTGCCCTGACCACTGCAGGAGCCTTAGAGGCCAGGCCTCAGGGATGCCCACTGGGTGGCTGTGAGAGGCCACACCCTGTTCAGAAGAACTGAGAAAAGGGACCTGAGTCCCAGCCTTGGCCAAGGGCATAGCTCCCTCTGATGGCTGATGGATGCCTCAGAGGATGAAGAAAAACACACTATGCTCCTTGCACCCTGCTTGCATAGGAACACCCGATGATCCAGGAATGTTCCTAACGCTGCGTTCACCGAGCGTCACGTCACAGGAAGCACGGTAAGGACAGCATGTCAGTCCACCTTCTGGCAAGGCCACTACTCTGATTCTGCAGAGGAATAACCTGAGGTCAGCTACAAAGCTTCCGACTGGTAAGGCTGGGGCTCAGATTGAGCCTGGGCGACTCAATGCCCCAGGCTCTAACAGCCCACCACCCACCCCTTCCTAGGGAGAGCAGGCAGAGCAGAGAAGGGAAAGAAACAACTACTGGAGCTTAATCCTGTGCTCAGCCCAGGTCTCCTCCACAATCCCTGTCTTAATTCACCAAGTTCGGCCTCCACT